GGTTTGAAGATCTGCCTTTTCCACCACTTCCTGGAGGAAATCATGTCACCACCAAAAATGGTGAGCTCTAGAAGGCTTTCCTGGACAGCCTCATCTTAACACAGTGTTCACAGGTCAGACTCATATACACACACAGTGGTGAGGTTGGCAAGGGTTTACCGCCAAACAGCTATCAATATCTCAGTCACAGCGGTCAGGCTGAGAGATGATGAGGCCTGAATGAGAGTGTCGGCTGTGAAACAGAGTGGAAGCCGAGGTTGGGGAGAGGCCAGGCGTGAGAATTGTGGGAATGGACCAGAGTTCATCACAGCGGGTGTGGGGAGAGGAGAGAGGAAGAAGGAGGCCTTACCCGTGACCACTGGGAGTGTGAGTGTGGTCTAACTCAGGCACCTGGGTAGATGGGATGCATTTATCAAGCTGGGAGTGCAGCAGGAGTTGGAGGCAATTCTGGGGAGAAGAATGACTTCAGTTCAGCATCTATGGACTCAGAAATGCCTTTGGGGCCTCCAAGTGAGAACGTCTTGATGGCTACTTGAGTTTTCTGTCATTCTTCTCACCAAAAAAAATCACAGAGACTTAACATGCTGTCAGGGCCTTGGCTTCCCACCCCCGGCCCCCGGCCCCTCTGCTGGACTTTCCCAAGCCCCCTGTGCTCAGCCAAGAGTGGGCTAGCAAAGTGAACCGTGGGGAAGCTCCGGGCCTGGCTCTTAACACAGCAGGGCCCTTCGTGCGATCCATGACTGGCAGACCTCGGCCCACCAACTGCCAGCGCCTGGTCACAGAGACACAGCATCACAAACTCTCCAGACCGGAAGGGATGTTCAAGGTCATCCATTCCAACCTTGGGGTGGCCGTTTCCAGACTCTTCTTATCCTTGAAGTGTTTCTCCTACTGTGCTTTGTCTTCTGACTTTCTCTTTATATGTTGTTAAAAACACAATCCACTTGCCCGTACAGCAGCAAGCCAGGCTCTCTTTTTTGTGGCTTTTGCAACGAAGGGCCCAGCGAGGCCAGATTTGGGAACATAAGTTTGGTTTCTTGGGGTTTTTTTTTTTTTTGCCTTCACACCACAGCTCCGAGAATGGTCTCCATGGTGACAGCAGCTTCTTAGAGGTGCCTGGAGTTTCATTTTTCTGTGTTTCCCTAACTGTCTAAATTATGAATAATGTGTTTAGGTAACCTGTTGAAAAGTTTCTATATGCATATGAATGTCATGGAAATATACACTCATATATACATATATTGAAAAATAACGCTGACGGGCAATTTGGGTTTTGGTATGTATTTTTTTTTCCCCTAACACCCCCGAAAAAGGAGAGTGGGGATAAAAAAGAAAAAAAAGAAAAAGGAATTAGGATTGATTGAAAATTTTTCAAGTTAAACAAGACTCAATGAGAGAAACATTATAGTCACATTCTTCAAAGGCGCGTGAGCCGTGGAGGGGACGGAGCTAACCTAATTATGTTTTCTTTAATGTGAAATAGCTATTTGCCTGACATTCTATTTGCATCTCACCATCACATTCAAATGGCTGAGATATTGATTCCTTCCCCCCCTTCACTCCCTAGGGCTTCCTTTGAACATGAAAGTCTTTTTTCACTTTCCCTGCCTGTGCCCCCCCCACCCTGCCTCGCCAAAGCAGTGATAAGAAGGAATCGATAATTACATTGTTGGATAAAAATGAATATAAATTTTATTGAAAAACACCACCAGCAACGATGTGGAGGAAAGCGGGCCACAGCCACCGACCTTCCAGCTCGAGGCACACACACTGTGAAGGATGAATCATGTCCTTTGATTCCAGCGATGATTCCAAATGAGAGGAAATCCGAGACCGTGGAGACACTGACACGTGGGCACAAACGCAGACCCCTGGCCACTCTGCCAACAGCAAGCCACGTGGCAGGACCACGAACCCTGTTTGCTGCGGGTCAACCTCGTTCCCTGGAGGCTAGTTCGCTTGGGGAGGGCCCTGTCCTCGTGGTGAGCATGGCATCTCTAACCTACTCCGGTGGAAGACTTTCCTGCTCCTCCAGGCCTCTGGGAAGAAGGGTGCCCAAACTCTCCTTGGCAGCTTCGTCCTGCTTACAGCAGGGAAGAGCTCTTTGTGTCTGGCCTCAAACCTTCAGCTTATCTATGGCCTTCCTTGTCATCCCTGCGGGCTGTACAACGGTGGACTCATGACGGTCACATCAGATTGGAAACAGACTCTGGCTGTGCTGGTGGTGGAAGCCAGGTCTTCAGAAGTGCATTGTTGCTATGGGACCTCTCTGTGTCCCTCCCCCCCCTCCACACCCCATGCTCTCACTTTCCTGCCCTCTGCACCCTCTGCCTGTGGGGGGAGGCTGCGTGCCAGGATTTGCCAGTCTTGGGTGGGGGCAAACCGTGCCAGAGTTTGAGCAGTTCCAATCCTTCTTTGGCATAGTAATCAATATGGTCCAAGCTGTCCCACCGGGACCTCTCACGTTCCACGTCTTCTCTCGTTGGCAAAGAGTCCCCAGGGCTCCCTTCACAGTTCAAATGCTCCATGAACACACAAGGAGGCGCGCGGCCAGGTGACCACGAGACAGCACCCAGTGAAGTGAATGGGGACAGCTCAGCAATGGCTTCCCCGCCCCCCAAGTTCAGGGTCAAATCCGGGCAGGCTCGAGGAGACCCGCAGCTCCTCCACGCGACCACCAGGGGGCGCCCGCGCCACGCCGCCGGCGCCAGGGAAACAAAGCTGGAATTTCAAGGAAAGCTTGCAAAAAAAACGCAGCCCCTGATTTCCAATGCAACCCCTGATTTTCACCCTGAGCAGCATGCGTGTAAAAATTCATGAGGATGGTATCTCATTGCATGTATTTTGACTGCAGTGGCGAGCAGGGCAGGGGATTTTTCTGACTGTGTCTATGAGCTGTCTTGCAAAAAAGTGTGGCTGGTGACACCGCCCAGGAACTTGTGTGGGGACTCAGGGAAGACATTGTCGCTGGCTGCTGGGACAGCTCCTTTGGTGGCTGGTGGCATCCTCTGCATGTCACAGAACACAATGATGACAGGGGCTGATCTTGGCATGAGTAGCTGGGCCATGGGCTGAGACAGCCAGCTTGGGCCTGGTGAGAGACATACGTCCTTGGAAGCACTTATTGTCTTGATGATGCACCAGATATTTCTTGCAGTTCATAAAAACTGATGGCAGGAGAGGAGGCTGCTGAGAAGGTGTGAAAAGCCCCCTTGTTTCCCCATGGTGCCGTGCACGGTTACCGCTTCCAGCCTTTGCGGATTTTCAGGTCTAAGTGACATGTGCAGGGCAGCCTGCTGGCAGCGTCCTCAGAAGGCAGTAGACACAGGCCAGTGCTGCCCAGCTTACCAGCGGGACACTCGTTTGGGTTCGCTGCCTCCCACTGGACGGAGGACACTTGGTTCTGGGCTGGGTCCGTGGTGGTGGTAACCTTTGAAGAGCGGAGCCCAGGTGGACGGTGGTCTCTGCTGAGCTCCTGACACGTTGGACAGCCCTCGGGCTGGGAATGGCTGTGGCGTGTCTGGCCGCCCACCTCTCCCAGCTCTTTGATGCCTCGGTGCCAGGGCCAGGCTCACTCGCTTCACGGCTGGAGCCCCAGCACCTGCCGTGGTGGCTGGTGTGTATGAAACACTCTTGGATCATTTCTTGAATATGTCCTGTGAGGAGGGCACAGTGGAGGTGGCCAGGGGGATCCCTGGGAAGCCTGGTGATTGTCAGGACCCACTTTGAGGTGTCTCTACGGTCAGGGATGGTGGTGCAGCGGCCTGCAGGCCTGTCTCCATCCTTTACCTACTGTCCTTGCTGAAGCCAGCCCTTTTGCTGTTTCCATGGCAACGCTGGCCCCAGGCTCCATGGTGGGTGAGCAGTGGGTCTTCTCAGACCTGAGCAAGCTAAGGGCTCTGAACTATGCCCACAGGAGGGTGGGGTGCTGGAGGTCTGTCTTCTTGGAGGAAAGGAGAAAAGAGAGGGCTTTTCCTCAGGGACAAGTACAATACTGCCCCCCCGCCCCAGGAAGGCTACCATGGTTGCCCTCAGTAGCTTAGCTAGGGAGGACTTTTTTGGGGCAGGCAGAGAGAGCTTCACTAACACAGGAGCCTCCTCCCCGCATTACACAGAGACCCTGCTCTTGCCTGGCCTCCCTCCACTGCTCTCTGTGAAGGACACTGGCTGGGACATAGGCAGCTCTGAAGAATACAGGATCTGATGTCTTAGTCCTTAAGACTGCAGGGCTGCTGAGGAAGGCCCAGCCCCACCAAGGACCCAGGGCTCCCACGAGAGCACGGCCTGCACTTTGGTTTGGAACCACCCTACAACCTTCTGGAACCTTCCTACGCCCTTCTGGAACCTCCCTGCACCTGTCCCATGCCACTTTACCAGCTCCAAGCAGGGACTGTAGGAGGTGAGCACCCTCCAGCCAGTGATGGGGACGCCCTGTCCACACCTTCTTCTTCTCAGGGTTTTTGAAGGTCAAGGGCAGGCAATGCCAAGACAGTAGGATTGGGGAGGATGGGCAAATCTGGGGGAAAATATGACAGTCCAGTATTCTCAGGGGTCCAAGGGTTGTCCAGAGACATTGTGCTGTGGCTTCAAAGGGGTTTTGGGACTCAAGTACAACTCAGTTTGGCAATCTTGTCCCTCACAGGCGAAGGCTCATGCTATCTTGTGACAAGTTTTCAGACGGATGTCCCATCTCTGCGCTCCCACATCAACAAAACAACAACAGCACCTATACTGGAAGGGGCGTCTGGCAGCGGCATACGGCTTACAAGACCTGGGATTTACAAATAGCACCTTTGTCTCCTACAGGGCCTCTGCCCCCTCAGTCATGACGGAGCAGGGAGACTGAGGCAGAGGCGGAGACGTGAGTCAGATGCAGAGGTGGCCCGGCCTCTGGGCACCCCTCCCCTGGGGTCCGTCCTGGACAGGCCCGGCCTGAGCTCTCTCTGGGAGTTGGGGGGGGGTGTTTGTGCCAAGGGGCTAGGGGTGCCGAGCACAGCCCTTCACTGCGCATTGACCTTGTACTTGAGGATGTAGGAGTAGAAGTTGTGGTTGGCGTTCTCCAGCACCATGACGTACACTTCCTGGCAGCCAGCCGTGCTGCAGCTGCCCTCCCAGTATCCCTCGCGGTTCAGGGTCAGTGGCCAGGTGTCCTGGCCCTTCACCAGGGCCTTGGCGACACCGTGTAGCTTCAGTTTGAAGGGGACATTCCGGTTGGCGGGGAGCACCCCGGACAGGGGCTCCAGGAGCTCATTGTCCTGCCCCCAGTTGCCAAAGCTCTCGGGGAACACGGGCCAGTTCACCTTGGTGTTGGTGCAGCTCAGGAGGTAATTGAACACGAACACGTAGTTGCCCGCTTCTTGCCTCTTCTTGACGAAGATCTTGAGGGCAAACTTGCCGGCTTGGGGCAGCTGGACTTTGAGCTCCGTGCGCTTCTCCCGGTGCAACTGGAAGATATAGCGTCGCTGCGTCTCCTCGGTGACAGGGCCACTGTCCCCGTGCAGGGAGGCCAGGACGCTGATGCCCTCGTCCACGCCGAAGCTGACGGAGCAGCGGCCGTCACTGGTGTGGATGATGGGGTCTGGGTGCGAGGGCTTCCGGATGCCCATCTGCTCGGAGAACCAGCTGGGCCCCACGGGCTGGTGCAGCTCGGCGGGCAGCTGGGCCCCGAAGTCCACGTAGTTGCACTTGAGGGTGTATTCCAGCACGGAGCTGTAGATCTCGGAGTTGCCCTTGGCGAAGATCTGCAGCTTGTGGGTGCCCATGGTTGGGGGGTACACCTCCAGCTTCATCCCGTTTTTCCTGAGGCTCAGCAGCCCGTGCTCCTGTTTGCCATTGAGCATGAACATGAAGAGGGTGGGGGCGCAGCTCTCGATGGTCACCGTGGCCTTCCCGTTCACTGTGGGGAGAAGGCCAGGCCTACGGTGAGAAGGGCCTCAGAGCGCAGTTTTCCTGTCTCTGAATCCCAGATTCCACCGTGAAAACACTCCCCCCAGGTCGTATGTTACTCAGCTCCCCGACATCTCCCACCAGTAGGGGATCTCCACTCCCTTTAAGTGTCTTTCCAGAGAGATGGGACTCAGGAAACATCGCCTCAACTCCGTGGACCCTCCCTGCTCTAACCGTTCACACTGGGTTAAAGCTGCCTGCATGAAAGCTGGCTTGGTCCCAGAGCCCCAGAGGGGAAAAAGGGTCAAGGGCTTGATTATCTGGGCTCCTCAGATGGCTTCCCCCAGCCCCCCGCCCACCGCTTCTTCCACTCCCTGTTCATTATGGTGTTGACAGCCGCCGTGTCAACACCTTACCTTAAAAACTGGTTGGAGTGACTTCACTCCAGAAGGTGGGGAATGGGGGGGTGGGAGGAAAGGGGGGTGTCACACTTTCCAGCTCTCTGCCCCCCCCCAGCTCCCTAATTCTCACGCAGGCAAGTCTCAGTCATGCCGCTGGAAGGGGACCAGGAAAGGGCTGTGCTAAGTTTTTTTAGACGCTTCTCTCTCAGTTCTCAGCCCTCCTTCTGCAGGGAAGACTAATTACTGTATGATTGGTTAATTATGTGAACTTCTCTGGGTAAAGTCTGCACTGTAAGACTTGTTCAGCATCCTTACTGTTAAAAAGGCTTTCAAGCCCTCTGCTTTCAGGTGGAAAACTTACCAAAAACATGACAGATTCTCACAAGACACCCTGCTCCAGAGGAAGCAAGAATGCAAGATTCTGAGAAGTGACCCCTCCACCTTGGGCCTCCTGACGCTAAGCCACTTCAGGGTCCACTAACCTGGACGCTTTCCCAAACTGGCCCTAATGTTTCCAACCATCATGCACCTGCCTGCGTTTCTCCAGTCCTGATGTTTACCATAAAACCCTTACCACATCCCACCTCCAGTGTTGGCGTCCCCTCTTGATACGGCTGCTCTCCTCACTTCGAGAGTGAAAATACCCCTTCGCTCTGGAGAATTCTTTCTCACTCTGAAACACTGGCCCATCAAACATTTTGGTGACCTAACATCCTATCTGTTCTGCTGAGCTCCGTGGGGCTGGGCCAGGCTTGCCTCATTTCTCACCACATCTGGCCATGGTGCCTGCCTCAGAAAGTCCCTGGCAGCATGGGCTGAAGGTCCAGAAAGACGTCATGTGGAGGACTGGAACCCATGCCCTCTGCCCCCACTTCGAGGACCCCTGGTTACCCTGCGCTTAGTGGCTTTATCCCCTCCCCTCCCGGACTTCTTTCTTCCCTTCCCTTCCACTCATTCCAGTTTCCCTCTTTTGCTTTCTCCCCAGCCCCATTATTAACCTAATTATCTACAAAAAAGATCTTGAAGCAGAGGGGATTAACCATGGGGTTGTATAATTTGTTGGGTGGGGGAGTGAGGGAAATTGGAAAAATCTGGTCTGAAAAACAATGTAGTCCAATTTTGTAAATAAACTAGTATAGTGGATAGAGAGTGATGCCACCAAGCCAAAGGTGGGTGATTTTAATCTGCAGGCTTCTAATCAAACATTCTTGTAGGTGGTATAGCCCTGGTCTGTGCATTGCTGTACGGAGGTAACTCGTGTTTGCTGTGAAGCTGAACACTGTGACACTGATGTGTCAGATGCGATATTGGTCACCCATGGTGGACACTGTTTGGTGGAGCTTCCCGATTAAAATAAGCTTGGAAGCAGAAGTGGCATCTACTTCCGAAACAGCTTGCCTCCAGAAACTCTGTGAACTTGGAGAAATGATGAAAATTATACAAGTGTTCAGGTCTTTCGTTCATAGGGTTGGTATGAGTCGTCTACGACTAGATGGCACTTAACAACAACAACAATAACAATAATAATAATAAAAAAATCTAAGCAGGGTGTAAAAAGTTAAGCAAAATAATAATAAAAAAGATCTATCTATGTGGGATCAACTTGACAACAGAACTGGAAAGATTAGGTGGGAGCCTGAGCGGGACACTGAGATTATGTTCACAGGGAGGAACTCAGGAAAGGAGAGAGAAAAGTTGTCGCACGACTCACAGGATGAACGCAATGTCACTAAATTGTGCGTGTAAACACTGTGGAATTGATCTATGTTTTGTTGTGCATATTCATAGCAACAACAAAAGAAATGTAATTTTAAAAAATGAAATAAAAAAGAAAGATTTTTAAAATATCGATTATCTAGGGGAGCTCTGGTGGCTTAGTGGCAAGAAGCTGCAACTACAATCCCAGAGGTGCATGGTTCAAATCCACCAGATGCTCTGCCGGGGAAGAAGGGGCAATCTCCTCCTGTACCAGTCAGATCTGATTTGACGGTACACACACACACACAAATAATAAAATAAAATAAAAAATATTAAAAAAAATATCGATTATCTATTGTTGTGTACCATCCAGTCCAAACCAGCTCTCAGCTGACCATCTAGTGGGTTTTCAGAGGCAGCTAATCACCTGGGAGGAGACTGTCCACCCTTGTCCCACGGAGCAGCTGGTGGATTTGAACCGGGTACTTTGGGTTGGCAGCACAATTCCTTATCATTAAGCAACCAGAGCTCTCTATTATCAATATGTAGGAAATGGCTGTTCGACTCTGTCCTCTACGGCCACTGTGCGTCGAATGGGCTCTGTAAACCCTGTGTTTATAGATTTATCTCTTATCCCGACTCAGTGGCACTGGCTTTATGCCGATGTGGCTGCGTGCCTCTTTCCTGTGGTTTCATGACCCGTGACAGACAGGGCAGGCTCTCCATCTGCTGCCGCAGGGAACGGATTCTCGGAGAAGTGAGCCATCCAGGCTGTTATTTGAACAGCAGGAGCTGCCAGGTATTTGTGGTTTTCGAAAGTACTGGAGAGCTTAGCAACTTGGTTAAGGAAACCGCTGTGAGGGGATGGGCCAAGCCAGGTGGAAGTAAAGAGGGGCCACCTGTGTGCCCCAGGGACCCCACTTCAAGGCCTAGGCTGGGGCTTCCACTGGCCCCCTGTCCTAACAGCTGACATGAACGGGACTCTGTCAATCGACAGTCCTTTGCTGGGGTGCGGGGTGACTCTGCAGCAGGTCAGGTCTTGTACATACAACTTCCAGGTCTCTGGAGATGCATACGACAAGCCCCCACTGGAGAAAGCCATGTGCAGCCCAGGACCACAGCTCGGGGTGTCTGGGGCTGCGTCTCAGAGTTAGAAGTCACATCCAGATACCCATCTAGACCCTACAGGGAAGATGGGGCTTGGAGACACATGCCAAGTCAGGCTAACCAAGGGGGGCCTTGAAACTCACTGCTCCAGCCCCAGGGGGGCAGCCTGGAAAAGGCCAGACCCTGCCTTCAAGAGGAAGGGAGTGTGGCGAGCACAGAGTAGGCTGACAGCCAGCCCACACCCACCTTGTCGGGACTGGAAGGGTGCTTATCCAGGGTTGGGAGGGAGGGGTGCCAAGGAGGCCAAGCCATACTCTCTGTAGATCTAGGTCTTGTCTGGGGTGCCAAGCTCAGAGGTTGGGGAGGTTCTGCTGGACCCCTGCCTCTTCTCTGCTCTTTCTGCCAGGAACATGCCCGTCCCATAGACCTGTTGTCTGCTTGTCCCCATTGAGAAGCTCCCCCAACCCTCTGAGGGACAGTTGCCCCCCGCTGTCCCTCAACCAGCTAGTTTGCTCACTAAGGCACAGCTATGGACTCTCCTGGGTCAATGTGTTCCCTCTTGGAGGAGAGCAGTGATTGTTGGACACTTGAATGGGGCAGTATGTAGAGCCTGGGCTGAGTTAGGCTAGGCCTGGTGAGCTGACAGATGCAACATCCAGGCTTGGCCCCATGGCATGCCAGATGTATTGCCTCCCTTCTTGGTTTTGTATGGAAAATCCTAGAAACATCCCAAAATGGTTACACTTACACTAAGCTGGCTGTCTTAATAGATTTGTTTTTCTAATTTCTTCTTAGGATGAGGGTAAACTGGCCATTCCCCCTATTATTTTTAGCCATATTTATAGAACTAGATATACACTGAGCAGGTGATGGTTTTCCTCTTAAACTAAGTTTAAACTTGTTGCTGTTGTTGATTGCCATTGAGTTGAGGTTGACTCATAGTGACTCTGAACAAAACACCTAATGTCTTTCCATAGTTATCATTGTTTCTCCAAGTTCATAGAGTTTCTGAAGGCATGTGGTTCAGGAAGTGAGTGCCACTCCTGCTTCCAAACCTGTTTTACAGCTGGGAGCTCCACCCAACACTGTCCACACCGGGAAACCATTCTGATCTTTGATATCCCCATGGCACAAGGTTCAGCAAACCCGGTTTACCTCATACAGCAAATTGACAAAGAGTGATGTGCAAAGTGGAAGAGTGTTCCTCTAGATATAACAGCACTAGTCTCACTTAGCAGTGGTTAAGTGTTGTCAGGTCAAATATGACTCAGAGTAGGCTTTGCACAAAAGACCTGAACTGTTGTTCACTGTTGGTAGAAGTTTGAAATGGTGCAATCACTGTGGGAGGCGGTATGGCGCTTTCTCAAAAAGTTGCAAATAGAGATACCATTTGTCCCAGCAATTTCACTACTGGGAATATGCCCGAAAAAGACCATAACCACCACCCAAGCAGATATATGTACACCAAAGATTATCGTGACTTTGTTCGCAATAGCAAGGTGTCGGAAACAACCTAAGTGCCCATCAACAAATGAATGGATAGAGAAGCTGTGGTATATTCACACAATGGAATACTATGCTGCATTGAAAAACAAGGAACTCATGCAATAGTATTCAAAATGGTTGACTCTGGAGAACATAATGCTGAGTGAAATATCTCAGTCACAAAAGGACAAATACTGCATGGTGCCACTGTTGTAAAACAGGACTGACATTGGGGTTGGGGGGAGACTGAGAAAGACGGGTTCAATAATGTATACTGCATTGAAACAGATGAGGGAGAAAACTGTCTAAAAGGGATATGTGATTAGGTATTTTTGTCATGACAGGAGTCCAGAGGGCTACATGGTGGAGCAGACCTGGAGGAGGGTTTGTAAAACAATGAAAGAATTTTTCTTTTTCTTTTCCAAGAGGGTAGGGTACTAGGGGGGAGGGTTGGGAGGAGAGAAAGGTGCAACAATGAATGAATGGAAATCCAAAGTCTCTGTAAATGTTCATTAAAATGAATAATAATTTTTAAAAAAGAAAAAAAATAAGACCTGAACTCTGTTCTATAATTAACATCATTTCTGTACATTTAGAAGAGAGTTTGTAGAGTTTCCAGAGGCATCTAGTTTAGGAAGTTTAAACTAGCATTTCCTATTAGTCTAGATGATTCTTAATTTTGCTACATGTTGCAAAAAAGAATTGTTTGAGTTAGGGGTGCAGTTAGCTATCTCCACCTTCAGTGGAAACGCTCCAGCCCGCTGCCACAAGAGCTGTGTTGCGCTGCCTTTTCCCTGGTCAGTAAGTTTTCTATCTCGAGAAACTCTGTCTTTTCATTTGTCTCTAGCTCAGGTTTCAGTCTGTCTTTGAACATGAACGTTCAGGGCCTTTTCCTCAAGGCTCACACACGTGTGTAAACGGATTCCTGCCCTTGCAAACCTAAGTTTTCTATCTCGAGAAACTACTGTCTTTTCATTTGTCTCTAGCTCAGGTTTCAGTCTGTCTTTGAACATGAACGTTCAGGGCCTTTTCCTCAAGGCTCACACACGTGTGTAAACGGACTCCTGCCCTTGCAAACCTGTGCCTGCATCTTGCCCTGGTGGTCAGGTGGTCTGCACATCTCCTCCCTTCCCTGCACACACACGGGCCTTACACTGTGCTCATAGGTCACCTCTGGGACCCTGGCAGGCAGTCCCACGGGGACCAGGCCGGGCAGTCCCCGCTCCGGGGTTACCTGTTCTGATCACGGCGCAGTCCGGATGGGCGCTCAGCATCCCCTTGTTGTAGAATTCACTCTTGTGATACATGCTCTCCTCAAACTGCCTCAGGGACTGCGGGGGCTTCAACAGCTGCCAGTTCTTGTTGTCCGGGAAATGGTCCTCGATGAACAGGGCAGGGTGGGTGAGGAAGTAGAATTCATTGTAGCTGGAGGGGTGGAGACACAGGAGAGCAAGCGGCTGCAGACCTGCTCGGCAGAGGGACTTCCCTGGGGCTAACGCACACAGAGGGAGTCCCACCCTCACCCTCATATCAAGAGCGGCAGCATCATTGTGTGATCTTGGGCAGCTTTTTCTAGTTCTGGGGGCTCATCTCGCTAAGGTGTGTGAGAAGGCCAAAGCCTGCGGCACTGGTCCACTTTGAGCATCCTAGGACATCACGTGGGGGAATGGGCTCGCCCGACTCTCACAGTCAGACACACACGTACAGGCAGCAGAGCCCAGGGCCCAGGCGTCAGGCAGGGGAATTGCGGAGGGCAATGAGGGCCTGAATGAGTCCAGTCCTCCTCCCGACCACAAGCCCCTCAGAATCTCCTCTGTGTCTGCAGCTCGTGTGGGCAGGACTCTGTGGACCCCGAGTTGGGCAAGGAGAGCTTATTCTGAGATGGGGGTGCTGCTTCACCCTGATGAAGGCGTGTGGTGTTCAGAGCTCCCAGATGGGCAGGAGCCACCCATGAGTCCAGTGTGTGAGAACCAGGGGGCCTGTATTTAACATGTGTGTGGGAGCGTTGAGACAGATGCCAAGATTTAAAAATTAAGGGGAACCCTCTGACTTTTTTCTTCGGTAAAAAGGACTCTTAATTGGATAGACAAATGGTGTACAAGGAATGCCATGACCGTGGGTGAAGGGGGCCAGAGCATCAGGAGACAGAAATGTCCCAGCCCAGCTCACAGGGACTCTGTCAACAGCACCCTTCCCACCAAATCATTATCCCTTCCTCAGAGGTGTGATGTGGCCGTGTGCAGCTGGGAGGGCTACTAGAGGGTTCTGGCACCATGCACAGTGACAGATAAGGGCTGGAGACCTGCAGGTATCCTGCAGACAATTAACAAAGCCCTGGTTTCCGTGGCCAGTGGGCAAACGCTGGAGGGGGTGGGCACTCCGGTGGCAGAGCCATTGGGAAGCAGAGAAGTGTTTTAATCAGCAGAGTGAGGTGACAAAAAGCCCTGGGTCCCGCAGCAGCCCATGGGATGGGCTGTGTGTCCAGCCAGCACCCTGGCTCTCTGATTTCCCACCCTCCTTCAGCCTTATGCCTCTTCCACAGACCGAAGGTCTAGCAAGACCAAGACTGGTACTCACAGGAAGGTGAACTTGGAGGTGGTCTTGTCCACCAGGCCGCTGCCCCAGGTGCTGTCCACCAGGTGCCATCTCCCCTCCAGGTACACAGCGTTCCAGGCGTGGTCGAATTCTCCCGTGAAGCTCTGTCCCGTCTGGTAGCCAAAGCCCTTGGAGTAGCCGGGCACCGTCATGCACTGCACTCCAGCCATCCTGCAGACAGACAGGGTCTGAGGGGCGCGCCATGGGGTGGCCTCCCCTGACCGTGTGTAGTCTCAGGCCTCAGACCTGCTGTCTGTCCATCAGCTTCTCAGCATCTCCCCTTCCCACCTCTCCCAGGCTCACAGATACACAGCCTTGAGGTCCTCATCCCCAGGGGCCACAGTGCTGGCTGGTCCTGCCTAACCCACAGAGCGAGCTCCTCCCGACGTTTGGTGCGTTTCTGAAATGCTTCCCCTCAGAGCTTGCTTGCGAGAAGCTCGTCAGGAAGATAGTGCAGATGTAAGAAGAGGCTTGCTTCTACAATAAGGGAACCAGGGAGATAACAGTGTTTAAGGAACACAACGTTCACGTAGGGGCGGAAAGAGCTACTGAGGGGACCAGAGTCACTGCTGTCAATCTATGAGCATGTGAGGGAGGAGCTGGGTCGAGGTGCCACGCACGGAAGTCACTGAGCGACAGAAAATGATGGGCCTCACTTCCTGTGCACTCAAGAGTTGTATGAGGACAGAAAGAGGTGCCGTGTCCGCATGGAGCCCGGGCACAAGAGAGGACCAGGGCAGGTAAGCCAGGGCCTCCCGCTCATGCCAGCACTGCATGGGTGTGACCCTCTTCAAACCTGGTACCGATGCCCACCGTGGCACAAACCCCAGGACATTAAGGCTATCCAATGATGACTCCCTTGATATGATTTTAGAGTCACTTGTAGCTGTCCAGCAGGGAGTAGAGACAATAAGCAATTAACAGACCTAATCTTGAGTATACCATGGACCACCAAGAAAACAAATCAGCCTGTCTTAGAGAGGGTGAAACCAAGTGTCTCCGTGGAGGCTAGGATTTTGAAGTTCCATTTCACACATTTTGGGCATGTGGCCAGGAGGAAACAGTCCGTGGAGAAGGACATCATGTTCTGAAGGGTGGAGTAATAAACAACACAAGAGAGGAAGACCTTGGTTGAAATGGATTGACATGATAACTGGGGCGACGGGACCAGGTGTGTTGGAGTCAGTGAGAGTGGCTCAGGATAGGACGAAGTTCAGAGTTATGAGTCACAGGTGACTTGACTGCACATAACAACAACAATCACCCTCAGAGTTCTTACTCCAAGGTCTTGTTCAGAGCAAGCTGCAGCCTCAGCAAAATCCTCTCTAAAGAGTCAGAGCTTCAGGGAAGCAGGCGGACTTGGCTCGGGATCCTCTACTCTAGATAAAACAGAGCACAAAGATGCTAGATGCTGCCCTGACACATAGTTTGGGGCAGTGAATTACACCAAATTAACAACAGTAACAGTAGCAGCAGCAGAAGCAGCAAAAGCTCTTCTAAAACCAAGCTCACTGCCATCAAGCGACCTCCTGTCAGTTTCTGAGGCTGGGAGCCTCAACAGGAGGAGGACGCCCATCTTTCTCCTGTGGAACAACTGGTGGATCCAAATCCCTGACCTTGTAATTAGCATCACAGCCTGTAGGGCACAGCACCACCCAGGATCCTCATATTTTAATCTACAAAGTTATCCACAGTATAAAGAGTGATGTGATGAGATGGTTTACTATTGCAATGTAGTTAATCTGTGAGCGCCATCCCTTGGCATGGCTATAAGGCTGGGGATGGTAGAGTGTGTTTAGATGGTCTTATAGGGGGAAAAATGTATTACGTTTTGTAAAATTAGTACTTTCATTGCCATTCCTTGCTATGCATCAGAAAGCTGGACACTGACTAGGGATGATAGAAGGAGAATTGATGCCTTTGAGCTGTGGTGCTGGAGAAGAGTGTTGAATATACCATGGACTGCCAGGAGAACAAACAGGTTTGTCCTGGAGAGGGTGAAACCAGGCTGCTCCTTGAAGACAAGGATTCTGAAGTTTCGTCTCACATATTTTGGACATGTTGCAAGGAGGGATCACTCCTTGGAGAGGGATGTCATGCTTGGGCGGGTGGAGGGACAACACAAGAGATGAGATAGATTGATTCAGTGATTGGGGTAATGAGGGTAGGTGTGTCAGAGACAATAAAATTGGCACAGGACAGAGCAGGGTTTAGGGCTGTTGTAGATAGAGACACTATGAGTCAACAGCACATAACAACAACAACAACTTGTGTGCGTGTGTGTGTGTGCGCATGTGTATGAAATACATTGCTCTAGTTAGCATAACATTTGTCTGTCAGTTTGCTGTACTGAGGTAACTTGTGTGTTTCTGTGATGCTTAAGGTCATTGCACCAGTGTATCAGATGTTACAAGGGTCACCAATGGTGGACAGGTTTCAGTAGAGTTCGCAGACTAAGATAAACTAGGAAATCAGGACTAGCCACCTACTTCTTAAATATTAGGCCTCTGAAAACTCTATGAGCAGCAAAGAAACACAATAGTTAAAGTATTAGAGGTAGAGCTCAGATTGAAAGTCAACCAAAATGAGGAGAACCAGCGTCAAACATCCTTTAGTAATTGGAATATGAAATGTACGAAGCATGAATTTTGTCTCATATACTTCACGCATGTTGCCAGGAGAGGCTATTCCTTGGAGAGGGACATCATGCTTGGAAAGGTGGAGGGGGAGGGTTGGTTAAAAAGATAAAGACCCTTAATCAGGTGGAAACCAGGTGGATTGACACAGTGACTGCTGCAATGGGCTCTAGTGTGTCAGGAAATGTGAGGACGGCACAGGAGAGGACAGGGTTCTGATCTGTTGTTCAGAGGGTCGTTATGGGTCATACTCAACTTGATGGCAACTAATAATAACAACAACAAAAACAGGAAAATGTCAGGTTGGAGAAGAAATTAATTTGCACCTCCCAGAAGGTTTAAAGGGCCATTTTTTTGTGTGTTTGAGTCTTGGAAAGAGATAGGAAAAAAGGCGTGGTGATGATTATAAGCATCTGCTTGGCTGCACGCCCCTTGCTCTCTTCCGGTGACAGGTGGAGGACGGATGAGGAGATGAGGTGGCGGCTGACCGGTGACAACCAGCTCCCTCAGCATCAGAGTGTCTCTCTGGTAAATAAGTCTTTTTGGAAAATCTGCTAACAAGTGGTGTTTTGAAGAGGAATGTGGCATCAGGCTTGGAGGAAGGCTCACCCACAATCTGCGCCGTGCAGATGACACAACCTCTTGTGAAAGGTTTGTGAAACCTGTTTGCTGTGAGGAAGGACTTGAAACCCTGCAGAGGAGCCAAGACTACAGTCTTCAAAATGGATTGCATCTCAACATCAAGAAGACAGAAAAATCCCCACCACGGGGCCCACAGACACTATCAGGGTAAATGGAGAAAAGATTGAAGTTGTTAGTGATTTCATCTTACTTGAATTCACAATCAGAAGGCAGGAGACCAGGAGACATACTGCATCGGGTAAGTCTGCATTCAGAGACTTTTCACAAATACTTAAGTGCAATGATTGTTGTTGTTATGTGCCATTGAGTCACTTGCGACTCATAGCGACCCTATGTACAACAGCCCTAAACCCTGCTGTCCTGTGCCAATCGCATTGTCTCTGACACACCCATCCCGATTACCCCAATCATTGAATCAATCCACCTCATAGAGGGCCTTCCCCTCCTGCACTGTCCCTCCACCCTACCATGATGTCCCTCTCAAAGGACCTGTCCCAATGATACCAGTTTGAAAATTAAGGTATGCCTATGGTCTTTTCAACCACTTGCTATATATATCTGAGAGCTGGACCGTAAATAAGGATGACAGGAGAAGAATCGATGCCTTTGAGCTGTGGTGTGGAGAAGAGTAGTGAATGTCCCATGGATTACCAAAAGAACAAACAGATAAGCCTTGGAGAAGGTGCAGCCAGAATGCTCCTTAGCCACAGACACGAAGAAGCTTCATCTGTAAACTCTGGGCAGGTTGTTGGGAGAGGCTATTCCTTGGAAAGGCCCACTATGCTTGCTAATTTGAAAGGTTAGAGAAAGAGAGGAAGATTCTCATTGAAATGACTTGGCACAGCGACTGCAGCAACGGGCTCACATGTGTCAGAGACGGTGAGGACTGCGTGGGATAGGATGACAGGGTTCTGGTCTGTTGTTTCAGTGTTCTGATGAGTTGGACTCCACTTTATGGCACCGAACAACAACAAGAAGTGGTGTTAGAGCCACATCAAAGATGGACTCAATGTAGCTGGAGGCTCGGGGGATTAAGCATGGCCCTTGCCAAAGAATGAAGCAGAATAATTTACAGTTGAAGGCGATGGAAGCCGGAGGAGAGACATGAATGCTGCCTCCAGGAGAAAGTCAGAAGAGCCAAGGCCAGTGGGTAGAAATGCAATGGTCTGAAAGCAACACAAGAGCAAAAACTAACAGTCATTTGAGAAGGCAAATTCGGAAAGGAAAGATGCTTCTAAAACACCTGGATCCCCAGAAAATGACTTTGTTGACTCTTTTTCTTCAAGGAGGCTTTTGCACGGAAGTGGAAGGGGAAGGGTGTGAATCAATGACGTCCGGGTGCACACAATTCCCGCTCAAAGGCCATGGTGACGACTGCGTCTGGGTAACTTGGCATATGTGAATGCCCTGCTTTCAGCTAACAAGGAATTAGTTAATGAACTGACCAAAGTCTTGACAGTTATTTTAAAGTTGGAGGAGATTAAGAAAGTGATGCATGAACAGGTAAAACAAAATGTAAAAGAATTTCTACTGGGAGTTACAGATGTCCTGGGCAATGGAGGAACCTTGTACAGGGACCACTGCCTGGTGGGAAACATAACTTTAAATGATGCGCACTACGGAGCTGGGTTTTAACGACCTGCTGCAGGCCGCTGGAGGCCAGAATGTGGCCACTGCAGAGCATTTGGACCAGGCTAAAAAGATGACAGTCTCACTTGAGGCAAATGTCAATTTTCTGCATTTGTGTGGGCTGGAGCAGGGTGCAGGAAAATTCCAAGGAACAAAAATACTCCCTATTCCAGAAAGACAGGAAAAGTTGGGAAAAAAATTGAAAACCAACAAAGAACTTGAGTTTAAAATTCAAATAAAAAGAATAACATTCTTAAAGAGATGCTTAGGCACCCAGGGAGTTCAAAAGAGATTGTTATTTTTGGAAAATAAAATAAAAGAAGCCCATTTCACACATAATCTTTAACCAGATGGTTTGATACAGTGACTGCAGCAATGGGCTCACGTGTGTCAAGAGATTATGAAGATGGCACAGGATAGGGCAGGGCTCAGGTCTATTATTCACTGGGTTGCTCTGAGTTATACTTGATTTAATAATACCTGACAACAACAATTTCACATATTGTTGCTTGGAAAGTCCCATCATTTCCTGTGATTTAATAAATATCCACCAAAGGCCCACTGTGTGTAGGATATGGAGGAGTTCTTGTGGGAAAAGAGGCGGGAGAGGCAGAGACATTGAAGATCTGGTTCTATAGTGAATGAAAAGATAAGAGTGATTATAAAGAGCAATGGTGTTAGATTGGAGACTAAGGTGCTCCTGATCCAGGCCATGGTCTTTGCAATTACTTGCTATGCATCAGAAAGCTGGACAATGACTAAGGATGGTTTCTATGATTCTTCTGAAGAATTAATGCCTTTGAGTTGTGGTGCTAGAGAAGAGTATTGAATGTACCATGGACTGCCAAGAGAACAAATGAGTCTGTCCTAGAGAGGGTGAAACCAGGCTGCTCCTTTAAGGCAAGGATTTTGCAGCTCCGTCTCACATACTTTGGGCATGTGGCCAGGAGAAACCAGTTCTTGGAGAGGGACATCATGCTTGGGAGGGTGGAGGGACAGCACAAGAGAAGAAGACCCTGGATGAACTGGATTGACAGTGACTGGGGTAATGGAGGCATGTGTGTCAGAGACAATGAAATTGGCTCAAGATAGAGCAGGGTGTAGAGCTGTTGTACATAAGGTGGTGATGAGTCACAGGCAACTTGATGGCAAATAAAAACAACAACATGTACGTGCACAGAACAAGGTCTAGAGAGGACAGGACAAAAAGTTGACCATATTTTCTCTAAGTGGGTAATTTTAAATGTTCTCTTTGCTTCTGTACATGTCATGTTGTTGTGGTTGTGTATGTTGTTGGAAACAATCCACAGTTGACTTTCCAGCAGGTTTTCAGAGTAGATCAGAGTAGAGGAGACTGCCCATCCTTCTCCCATGGAGCAGCTGGTGGATTTGAACAGGGTGCCTTCGTGTTAGCAGCACAGCTCCTTACCACTATGCCACCAGCGCTCCCCATACATGTTATAAACGCTCTATAATAAACAAGCATGTTTTTAAACTTTAGAAGGATTTAAATAAGAAAACAAGGCAACACCATGCCAGCAGTCCCCTGCCACGGCACTCATGCCAACTCACCACGACCCCCTAGGTGGTGGTGGTTGTTGTTCAGTGCCGTCGAGTCGTAGGTGACTCATAGCGACTCTACGAACAAAAGTCCTCAACACTTGTGTGACTTTCATCCTCTCTCCAGGTTCACAGGGTTTCCGGAGGCAAGCTAATACGGAAGTGGATGCCACTCCTGCTTCCAAACTTGTTTTAATCGGGGAGCTCCACCAAACACTGCCCACCATGGGTGACCATTATCACATTTGACACATCAGTGTCACAGTGTTCAGCTTCACAGCGACCACAAGTCACCTCTGTACAGCAAGTGGACACACCAGGGCTACACGACCTTTGGCTTGGTAGCATCACTTTCTTTCCACTAGGCCAACTGATCTCTCTCTATGTTGGTGATAGGATATAGTGGAAATGCCTGTAGGGTTTCTGGTGTCCTCAGTCTTTACTGAACCAGACAGACTGCCTCATTGTCCCCCCAAGAAGGGGTTGATGGATTTGAACCACTGACCTTTATGTTAGCAACTGAGTGTTTAACCATTGTGCCACGAGGGTTCCTCAGGGCAACACAGCAGCAGGTGTGTGAGGAACACCGGTGACGTGGCGGGAGTGGAGGGAGAGGGTCCGCTTTGCTGGGGTAACAGGTGGGGAGAGTGTCAGGGAGAGGGGAGCAGTGTAAGTTTAAAAGGACAAATGTATAAAAGTCCCAAACTGAACCCACTGTGGCCGGGGCGATTCCACACCACAGTGACCCGGAAGGACAGAGCAGAACTGCCCGCAGGATTTCCTCACAGAAGTGGACGGTCACGTCTTTTTCCCTCATAGCTGTGGGTGGGCTTGAACTGCCAATCTTTTTTTCCCCCTATAATTATATTTTATTAATTTTCATAAACATTTACAGAGATTTGGGGTTTCCATTCACTCATTGTTGCACTATTCTCTCTACCCTCCTCCCAGTTTGTTCTTGTCCAAATGCCACAGTGCTTGTCAAAGCCATGAACTGCCAATCTTTAGGTCACTAGTCACAGTCCTTCCATGCGTGCAGGAGGTGCTCATGGATACAGGTCTGAAAGGTTCGATTTTGGAAGACTCTGCGTGACGGGGTGGACTTTTCATCTTCTTCAGGAAACTAGGGCCAGAGAAGCCTGGACGGGGAGGTCAGAGAGGAGCGGGGCTCCTGAGAGAGGCAGGTGGGGGTGCCGGGGCCCCTGGATTCGGGGGCAGCAGCAGGACACGATGGAAGGAGAGGCTGGGGTAGCAGCCAGGGTGATGACCCCCACACCCTGATCTGCCTTATTTGTCCTGACGCTGGGGCCTCGGGGTGAGGGGAGGGAGGAGAAGGCATTAGAACTGCCAAGTGTGTGTCTGCTTTATATTTGGGGTGATGACAAAGATGGGGTGCAGGGGGGTGGGGATTGGGTGGAGGGGTCCAGCTCGGGGGTTGTGTGTCCCCTAGGAGCTGGCTGCCCTGGGACACTTGTGCAGCACTCACAGTCACCTGCCTAAGGGCCATTTCCATGGCTTCCCACCTGTTGTCCTGGGGGGCTGACCTCTGGGGCCTGCAGCCTCACTAAGCAGCTGCTCACATGTTCCCAGAAGAGGGGGAGCCTTGGTGGTCCCCAGGGTCTGATCGTTGTCTCCTGGGGAGTCCAGTAAGCCTGAGAAAGCACACGTGGCTGGAGTGGCTTCCTGTGTCCCTTTAGCTTCAAGTCTGCTTTGAGGCCACCGAGAAATGACTGACGCTGCACACACAAATAGTTTCCCCTCCAGCCAGGCCTGGTCCCTGTTAAGCGAGAGCTGCCACCTTTCCCCCAGTTCAGCCCTTGTCACCCCAGAGCACTGAGAATGGGCCGCAAGGTCCCCCAGAGAAGCGGGTGCTGGTGATTCAATAGCTTTTCTGATGGGTACATCTTCTTCATAGGAGGCCTTCTGCTTCCTCGGAGGGAACTTGTTCGCCAGCCCCCGGGGCAGCCCTGTCCTCCCCTTCCTAAGTCTGCCATTCCTCTAACCTTCAGCTTCGGAGCTGTGAGAAGGTGGGAAAAGGGCCTTTTATAACCAAATTATCTCTGTGCACTCATCTGCCATTATGCTAATGCATCTCGAAGCCAGGCAGATGGTACAAAGTCAATTATGCGGCGTTTTAAAGGGAGGAATTGACCTTTTCTGGACCCGCCTGGATTCCTGCAAACGGAAGTTTCAGGCCTGGCCTGGAGGCAAAGTCTTGGAAGGACTGGGGCTGGGGGTGCCGGCCTCTGGGGAATGGCTGTCTTTTGAGGACCACCTCTCTCTCTCTCTCTCTCTCTCTCTCTCTCTCTCTCTCTCTCTCTCTCTCTCTCTCTCTCCCTCTCTCTCCCCTACCTGCACATTTTCTCAAACAGCCCGGCATAGCCGTCGCAGTTCGTCTTCTGGGTCTGCAGGATGTCGGTGAGCTTGAGGGCTTGGCGGTCCTTCTCCTGTGCGGCCACGATGTCGTACTCTGGGGACAGTCGCAAGGAGGAGGGTAATGAGAGACACACCGCCAAGGGCATGCGGCCTCAACTGGGGCAAAGGAGACAAAGCTTGACTTCTCGGGTCCCACCACGCCCTCAGGGTGCTTCAGGGGTCATCTTGGGCTGCCCCCACCCACTGTTGTGAGGTACCATCGAGTTGAGTATGTCTCATAGCGACCCTGTGGAGAAAAGACCTGACCGCTGTCCTGTCCCGTGCCCTCCACACCGTCTCCAGTACACGTGAGCCCATTGCTGCAGTCACCGGGTCAATCCACCTCACTGAGGGTCTTCCTCTCCGGCAGTGCAACTCCTTCCACCGAGCCCCCAGAGCTCACTATGTGGATAGACTGATTTCTCTCTCCTTCTACTGATTTCTCTCAACAAGGTGGATTAACACAGTGACTGCAACAGTGGGCTGACAGGTATCAGAGATGAGGAGGACAGAACAGGGCAGGGCAAGGTTCATAGAGTCATGGTCGACTGGATCTAACAACAACAACAACAACAACAACAACAACAACATCTATCTAGAGGCGGGGCGGACTGTGTCTCACATATTTTGGGCATGTTGTAAGGAGGGGCCAGTGCTTGGAATAAGATATTAAGCTTGGAAAGATTGAGGGTCAATGAAAGAGAAGAAGACCTTCTATCAGATGGATCCACACAGTGACCGTAGCAATGAGGACAGCAAAGGATAGAACGAGGTTCAGAGCCATTGTTCACAAAGCTGCTATGGGGCATAGTCGATTCAATGGCTTCTACCAACAACAACAATAACAAACACAACAACAACAACAACGACGACATACCTGCCAGTCTATCCATCTAAAGTATAGGTGTAGGTTGCAAAGAAAATCTACAAAACATTCTGCTTCAGGATTTTGATTTCTCTTCTTTAAGGCCCATAGAGAGAGCTCTGTGGGCCTGGTGGATAGAAAGTGATGTTACCATGTCAAAAGTGGGTGATTTTAATCTGAGGCCTTCAGGCCTGGTTTTAATTATTTTTGGTCAAACATTCTTCTAAGTGGTACAGCACTGGTCTGTCCATTTGCTATACAGAGGTAACTCGTGGTTGCTGTGAAGCTGAACAGTGTGACACTGATGAATCAAATGTGATAATGGTTACCCATGGTGGACAGTGTTTGGTGGAGCTCCCTGATTAAAACAAGCTTGGAAACAGGAGTGGCATCCACTTCTGAAATAGCTTGCCTCTGGAAACTATGAATGTGGAGAAATGACGAAAGTTATCCAAGTGTTCAGGTCTTTCGTTCACAGGGTTGTTAGGAGTCGTCTATGACACTGAACAACGCCCAGGAGGAGAAGGTGAAGGCTTGGCGCTCTGGAGGTGGGCTCTGAGCTCCCCGTCAGACCTCCTACCAAAGCCAGGGAATTCGATCTCTAAGCCCCATTCCTGAAGGTCTGGCGTGAATTCAGCCAGGAGCAGGCAGGTAGGTAGCCCTCTGGCCTGTCTGACTCTTGGTCAGCACCAGAAATCTGCTCCTCTGTGCCTGTGAGACTCTCCAAGCAAGGAGTGGCATCCCCGAAGCAACCTCCTCGGGGCTGGGCTTCGCCTGGGGAGCCTTCCCAGGTCATCTTGGGGAGAGCCATGGGAAGCCAGCCACACACTCCCGGGTCTCCAGAAGTGGCCCTGAGAATCAATCCTGGAGACTGGGCTGGGCTTGGTGGTCAAGGTGACCAGCGAGGGAACCGGGAGTGAGGGAAGAACAGACCACCTTCCTGGCGCTCGCACGTTACGGGTTGCAGTGACCTTTGGAAGGCTGTGGTCCCTTCCACTAACAATCACCCTCCGGGGAGATGACCCCTGGATTCTCATCTCTGTGAGGCAGGCATTACAGGGGCCACGGATGAGGGAGGCAAGCTGCCACGTGAGGGGCCCCAGTTCTGGCTGTGGGCAGAAGGCCAAGTGGGATCCCCCACCCAAGGATGACCCCTCTATGGAGATTGTTGGCACACATGGGGTGCACTTATTGGGTGGTCTTTTGCTAGCTTGGCCATCCGGGGGTCCCTCTCTCTTAGGCTCCTTCTTGCCATACACACTGGTTATCAAACCCCAGGGATACCCCTGGAAATGAGGAGTCCAACGGGCTTCATTCTAGAGCCAGTGGCTTCACAGGTGGGCCTACCTATGTGGTGGCAGATCCAGATCCAGACGGCGCGGACCCTCTCCAGGTCACTGTGGGCCTCCTGGACCAGGTCACTCACCAGCTCATCCAGACCACTTTTGACTGTCACCTGAGACATGAGAACAGTGGCTGGGTCAAGGTCAGGGCCTGATCCTAGAACAACCTTGTCTCTGCTCTGTAGATCCTGGGGCCAGCCAGGCGGGCAACGAGCCAGAGCAGACAGGGCGAGAACAGACCAGTTTTCCTTGGAGAATCCCACAGTAGCAAACAGGGACAAGGGAGGGGGAAGGCAGCCCTCATCAGGTTCAGTCTTTCTAGAGCACCTGGGTTCATGTTCAACTTCAGTGTCACCTCTATCTGAGATGCTCCCTCGTCTCCTGGAAGCATCAGTCACATCTGAACTCCATCTGACCACACCTGGCTCTTGGATCCCAAGGGGACCTCGGCACCTTTCATTCTTCCAGTCACCTCCTTTGTCTTTGCTTCACTTTCTTCTCTCTTCAGACCCCATGGCTCTTTGTTCCTCTCTCAGAATCTAGAAAAACACTCAACACATTGTCCATCTGTCTTACTGCCTGGCTGACTCCTGATATAATCCCAAAACAGAGTTTCGTGGCTTCTGGTCCTTGAGTTCCAGCCTGGTTGCGTCTGGGCCTGTCTCGGTCTAAGTTTAGATTGCTGGTGTCTCCTAAGGTTGGTCAGCAGCCGGTCCCATTGCTTCTGGCAGTCATTACCAAACACCTACGTTCTTCAATCTTTGGGCATCCTCCTTTCCTCTCTCAGCAGATGACCTGGCCTTGGGCTTCCAAGAATCCCAGGCAGGAATGTTGAGCCCCACATCCTCCGCATCTTTCTTTGTTCTCATGCTTTTGCCTTTGCAGGGGCTCTTTGCCAATCACCTGTCTCCCCCTCCGGCATCCTCATCTTCTGCCCTTCTTTTTTGGTTGCTGTATTTTCTCTGTCTTCCCACTCTCTCTTTGGAGGCGTGCCTATGCCATCCTTTCTCAGGCTTCTGGGGGTTGTTTCTTCTTCATCGTCTTTACTCAACCCTCTGGAGTCCGGCAAAGGCCTCTAATCTTTATCTGAACTGCCTTTCTGGGTAAGAAGTACCTTCCATGTCAAAGCAGCAGAGATGAATCTGCTCGCATCTCACACGGTCGGCCGTGCCCGCTGCCCATGGCCTCCCTCTCTGGACCTTCCAGGACACAGATCCTTCTTGACTTGATCTCATCTTCCACATTGCCCCAGGCCCATCAGGTTCCCCCCTGCTGCTTATATTGATACTCACCCCTCAGCTTCAGTTCTTAACCAAATCTCAACCAAATTGGCAATCTCAGCCCTGAAGTGATGACATGTTCCAGGCTCATCTGTCCAGCTACCCAGTGGTCATTTCTCATGAACGTGCTAAAGGAACCCAAAGCCCATTGTCCCCTAAACACTTGTCATCCCTAAAACTTGTGCCTTCCTCTTAGTCCCTCATGGTGAGAGGTCACTGCTCTCTCCCGAGCACTCAGTCCAGCAATCCTGGAACCTCTTTCCTCATGTCCACCTCACTCCACGTACACTGGTGGCCAAGTTACCTCTGCCTCCAGCCCAGTGTAGACCTTGGCCCTCCATGTCCCCACTTAATCCAGGCAAAGACTTCTCCCTCCAGGCCAGCTGCATGTCTCCTTACAGACATCCCTGCCTCTAATCTGACTTTATTGGACCATGCATTCATTTGTCAATTCCTAAGCCCTTATTATGTACCAACCACAGGGTCACCTTTCTAAAAGAGGTTATCTTTGCTTAGCATCCTAGGATATTCCACTGTGATATCCGGGAAAAGGCTGAGCTCCATGGTCCTTCACACCAGACTCTCTGGTTCCCATGATGCCCTTCGTCCACAGGCTGGGGGTGGCATGGTCGGGGGGGTGAACTGGCCAGAGGGACTGCTGCTGTGGGCCCTGTGGTGCTCTTGCTGTGGAAAGGAACGTGCAGGGCATCCATCCAAGTGACCCGGGACACATCCAGGGGGATTCAGGGGAGACGTTTGGCTGCCCAGGATCAGGGAACTCCAAGCTACCTCTGAGGGCTCATGGCCAGAGGGACTCGGATCTCCTACCTGTGAGGCATGGATGTCTAGTTTCTCAAACTGCTGCAAGTCCAGAGCCATGGACTTCAGGCTGGATCGGTCCCAGGGGTAGGCTGGAGACAGACACAGAGAGGCCACTAGTCAGCTGCTGAGACCCACAGAGGAAGCTCTCTGTTCCAGGTCTCACGGAATCTTTTAGGCGCTGAGACTTTACCAATGAGCCCCAAAGCCTGACTCCACCAGAGCCAGAAACTGTATCTGGTATAGAGGTGCCCTGGTCCAATTAGTTTGATAAAGACGACAGCCTCTACAGTTCTCTTGGAGATTTGCAGGGAACATTAGACCATTTGCAGACTCTCGTGAAGTCAGCACGGAAGAAATTGCGTTAACAGCAACATCCACTGACTCGGCAGCCCCCAGCCGTGTTTGATGACAGAGTCCACTTGTGCCCCACCATTCATTTTCTGCAGATTCGCTGGTACATTTTCTAGGCTTAGGTGCTGTGTGGGAAGTGTGGGTAATGCCACCAGCCTCTGTTGAGCTGAAGAAGGAAGACTCCACACTTAGACATGGTACTGCAGTGGGGAGGGGCCACAGAGCACCCTGGGTTTGGCCAGGGGGCACGGTGAGGCCATGTGGTCTGGGATTCTGCAACATGAGGTGTGATCAGCCTCCTTCTTTGCTCATGGTTAGAAAGAGACAAGACTGTGGCACCCAAAAAAAATAAATGGGGGGCTATGCAAGCAATAATCATTTCAAGAGCTGCGTGGAAGCACCAGAGGGAAGCTGATTCCCGGAAACACTCAAGAATATCTAATCCCTGTTGTAGGAGGCTTCTCTGCCCAGACCCTGGTCTGCAGTTTCAGGTTTCTGGGACAGACACAGGGCGGACAGAAAACTAATGACTGTGTCTGATGCTGATGTAGAGGTCATCTGTCTCCAGCTTCCTCACTGCCCACAGGATTGCCCCTGCTGCCAGCGTGTCCACTACAGGGCTGACAGACCAGGGCAGGGATCAGCAGATGGGTGGACAGCAAGCTCTTGTCCCACCCAGAGAAGACCATGGATTCTGGCTAAAGTCTTCTTAATGCCCACTGAGCCCTAAGGGCCCAAATCAGGGAAACTGGGTATGAGGACAGGGTGGCTGAGAGGAGGAGGAGGAGGGATATCCAGGATCTGAGGGTTACTTCTCTCCAGAGAAGGAGCTAGAGATGAGGCAGTGGCACCCTCCTTCTCTGCCCCCCCCCCGTTCATTTCAGAAGTTCTTAATGAAAATCTCCCAATCTTTTTATGCTGTACAGACATACACTGGTGCTACCGTGAAACCAGATGGAACTCTGGCTCCTATCCAGCCCTCAAATGCTGAAGTTGTGATTTCTCAAATGACTGAGAAAGGTCATTCTTTTTTTCCCTCAATTACTGAGAACATCATCAATACCTATTCCATATGGTCCTGGAGTGCCATTATCTGTCCACTCATCCATCCATCCATCCATCCCACACTCACTCGTACACCTGTTCTATCCATCTATCTATCCATCTCCCTTCCACTCACCCATACCCTATCTATTCATCCATCCATCCATCCATCTGCCTTCCACTCATACACCTATTCTCTCTATCCATCTCATCCCCTCACCCGTAACTCCATCCATCCATCCATCCATCCATCTATCCATCCCACCCTTACTCATCCACCTATTCTATCCATCCATCTATCCATCTCATCCATCCACTCATCTATCTATCCACCCTCCATCTATTCATCCATCCATCCATCCATCCATCCATCCATCCATCCATCCATCCATTCCACCCATCTAGTCCATCCATCCATTCCATCCATCTATTCCATCATCCATCCATCCATCCATCCCACACTCACTCGTGCACCTATTCTATCCATCTATCTATCCATCTCCCTTCCACTCACCCATACCCTATCCATTCATCCATCCATCCGCCTTCCACTCATACACCTATTCTCTCTATCCATCTCATCCCCTCACCCGTAACTCCATCCATCCATCCATCCATCCATCCATCCATCCCACACTTACTCATCCACCTATTCTATCCATCCATCTATCCATCTCATCCATGCACTCATCTATCCACCCTCCATCTATTCATCCATTAATCCATCCGTTTTCCACTCACTCATACACCTATTCTCTCTATCCATCTCATCCCCTCACCCATATCTCCATACCTCCATCCATCCGTCCATCCATCCATCCATTCCATCCATCCATCCATCCATCCATCCATCCCACACTCACTCATCCACCTATTCTATCCATCCATCTATCCATATTTCTCATCCACCCACCCATACTCCATCCATCTATCCATCTCATCCATCCACTTATCCATCTACCTACCCTCCATCTATTCATCCATCCATCCACCCATCCGTTTTCCACTTACTCATACACCTATTCTCTCTATCCATCTCATCCCCTCACCCATACCTCCATCCATCCATCCATCCATCCATCCATCCATCCATCCATCCATCCCATTCATCTATTCCATCATCCATCCATCCATCCATCCATCCACCCACACTCACTCATCCACCTATTCTATCCATCCATCTATCCCTCTTTCTCATCCACTCACCCATACTCTATCCATCCATCCACTCCTCCATCTATCCACCCACCATCCATCCATCTATATATCTATCTTTCCCTCCCTCCCTCCCTCCCTTCCTTCCTTCCTTCCTGGCGTTTGGCTGAGAGACCTTGTCAGGGCTCTGCTGAGCCTCTGCCTTCAATCCTCTCTCTCTCCACATATTGTCTGACAAGGGCCATCACAGTGACCTAAGTGGATCTGAAGTGGATTCACAGGTTTAACAAGCTTCCCCTCGTTACAGCCCTGCAAATGAGGTCCTCCTCTCATTTAGAAGAAGGACAGCATTTCTAAAATGGGACAGAAACCTCTATTACTAGCTTAACTCTTCCTTGGTTCCATTTTACAATATCTGAACATTAAAAATACCCATAATGATGTATGCCTCATTAAATCGAGACTCTGAGCAGATTATGTAAGAACCAAATACGATTTTGCATAAATAGTTTTAAAATACTAGCAGCATTAACAAAATGGTTCCAATTTGAAAGCAAAATAGAGAAAAGTCCTGAGGTGCTCTACACCCTAGATGCCATCTGGTCTATTTGAGGAGAAAACTGAGGCCCAGAGAAGGTCAAGTGAGGAGTAAAATCAGGGCTCAAACCCAGGCCATCTTTCCATACTCAGTGGACCCTCATATTTGGTGCTTCTTCCTCTTTTGCATGGGCCTCTGCTTATTCACAAACTTTCTCATTACCAACATTTGGTGCTCCATTTAAAGTGAATGCAATTCAGAATCCTGTTTTTTAATGCTTCCCATAATGGGCTGTCTTGTTACTGGTAAGGTTTATGCTTTCGCTTTGGGATGACATCTGGTGTGTGAGGGTTTTTCCTCCCCTCCACTGCAGACATTACTAATCAATCATGATTCTCTTCCTCTCTCAGGGAATTCCCTGATAATCAGCTCAGTGTCCCAGGAAGCCATTAGCCATTGATTGGAGTTATCTCATGAGGTCAAATCCATTTGCTATCCCCAAGAACAACTCTGGAGAAGACTCTGCAACTTACCATGGGCATCTTTTCCTCCAGGCTGCCGGGGTCTTGTATTTCCATTCTTGTCACCTTGTAAACCTGCAACATCCCAACAGGCAAGCGTAGAGGTATTTCAGAAGAAATAAATGCAACCATAGACAATTTCACGTGGTGATCTTACTTCTGATGTCTCCTCTTTACTCCTCTCACAACCATTACACTCCTATCCCACCCACCAAGCAAATATGACATTATTCCTCAGGTCAGTAAAAGGACAGTCAAACCCTCTAAGCTCAGTATTAGTCAAGCCAGAAAAGAGCCCCTTCTATTTATTATTTTCTATGGGCAAAAGGGAAAGATGGTTACAGAATGAAGGCTTTGACTAAGATACAAGAAGCCTTCAAATGTCATTGTCCATCTAAAGAAAGCTGCAGGAAAATAGAAGGATAAAGAAAGCTGCAGGAAAATAGAAGGATAACTTGTAAAATGTGTATGGGGGTTGATGGGGGGAAGAGATGGGAGCAGAGGGGGTGATGATAGGTGTGGGGGAGGGGAAACACAATTTGGTGGGTGGAGGCAGGTGGTGAAGGAAATTGGAAAGATCTGGTGGGGATCTGGCAAGAGAGGAGAATGGTGGGCATAGCTCAATGGTGATTGGTTTTATAAAACAATGAATGGAAATGGTTGCATGAAACAATATAAATGCAGAGTAGTATGAAACCTAATGTATACCGACTTTGTATTCAAACCAATGTAAAATACATTTCCCTCCACCCAAAAAAAAAAAATAGAAAAAAAATAAAGAGAGCCAGGGAGGTTTATTTTTCTGTATGACTTTAAAAGTAGGGCACATCCTTCCCATCTGGAACAGCTGCGGGCATGGGGCCAGGTTAAGGAGCCATCGGTTTCTGAAAGATCAGGAAGAGTTCAGCCAGGACTGTCAAGGCTTGTGTTTTTATGTGTTTGAAGGTCACTGCAGGCTGTGAATGCAACAACAGTTGTTCTAGTTTCGTGCTATTGATTCAGAACTGACTCAGAGCTGACCATCCAGCAGGTTTTCAGAGGGAGTAGTTCACTATGGAAGAATAAACATGCGCATAGGCCACTCTGAGAAATAGGCCAATCATTATGCCTTTTGTGTAGTGGCATCTACTTTTTCAAGCAGAACAACCATGGTCCAAAGTAGCAGCTAACATTTACTGCACACTTACTTTGTGCAATACGCTTTACTAGTCTATGTTGTTGTTATGTTCTGTCGAGTTGCCTGAGACTCATGGCCACCTTATGTACAACAGTTCTGAACTCTGCCCTGTCCTAAGCCAGTCTCACTGACACTGACTCACCTACTCCCGTTGCCCTAGCTACCCCATCAATTCATCTCATGCAGAGGCTTCCTCTTCTACACTGTCCTTCCACCTTTCTGAGCATGATATCCTTCTCTAAGGACTGATCTCTCCTGGCCACGTATGTGAGACAGAACTTCAAAATCCTAGCCTCCAAGTCTGTACTTTGCATTAACCTCACAACAACTCTATGAGAGGGTGTGTGTGTATAATTATTGCCCTCCTTTTACAGATGAGGAAACAAAGCCTGAAAAAGAAGTGAAGGCACTTTTTCCATACATTCTCCCAAGATCCTGACTGTTCAGGACCACAGGACTAGTGCACAGCTTGGAGGACTTGCCTGGGCACCTGAATGGCCTTGGAAAGGGCGTGTGCCTAGGTCATCACTCTTTCATCTGCATTCCTCTAAGAGCCTCTGTTTGGCTGAGAGATAATGGATGCAGACAGAGGACCCGAGGAGAATAGAGGAGACTTCAGGTTCCAGGATATTGGCCTGTGTGCAGGGCAGGACTGCTGAAGGATCAGCTATAAGTCAGTTCTGTCTCAACAGCACACAACAACAGCAATAAGAAACTCTAGACAAAACGCAAGGAGGTAAGAAGAGGACATGGTTCAGAGCTCAGTCTTCAGTATCAGATGTGGGTGGCACTAGTCCACATTCTAGCTGGTAATTCAGGCAGCTCTTCTGCTTTTCTGACCGGCACTTTGCTGATCTAAAGAATAGAATACTACAGGGAGCTCTGGTGGCTTTGTGGTTAGGAGGTGCCCTGGCAACCCAAAGATACAAGGCTCGAATCCACCAGCTGTTCTATGAGAGAAAGATGGGCAATATCCTTCTGTGTGAACTACAAGTTCTGAAAACCTGCTGGAGAATCAGCTATGAGTCAGTTCTAACTCAACAGTATATAACAAAACCTATGTGATGAAATGTACTTTCTATTGAATGCCATGCAGAGTATATAACAGCAAGTTTCTGTTGGAGGGTTAAAAAGCTAATAATGCCAGAATTAAGGTTGCATAGAGACGTGTACTCGGGGTGGGGGTGGGGTGGATGGGAAGAGATGGGGGAATTGCACACGAATGAAGGATTTTTTTTTTCAGAGAGGGGAGTGAACTGGTGGGGAGGGAGAAAAGTGCGGCAATGAATGAATGGAAATCCAAAACCTCTATAAATGTCTATTAAAATTAATTTTAAAAAAAGCTAATAATGGTTGTGAAGTCCTCAGGACAGTGTAGGCCACTTACTGGGAACTCAATGCATCACATCTAAAAAAAAAAACCCTATGTGATGCAATGTATTTTCTACTGAATGCCATGCACTGGTCATGTCTAATGCCAGAGATCAAGGACCGTGGTGGCTACATATGGAGAGAGACATGTCTACAGGAGGAGCTGTTTGGAGTGTACAGGTCAAGTGTCAATGCCACTCCACTCCTTCCTCCAGAAGATGGCCGGGCCGGGCTCTGGCCTGCCCAGATGGCCTTAGTCCTCCCAGCCCTCTGCACCCAGCACCCCTGTGTGTACGTACATTTAGCCAGAGAGAGCTTCTTGAACAGCGTGGGTACAGCATCTCGAGGATGGACTTCCACAGTCAGCTGCGTCCCTGCAAAGGACCAAGAGTGATATTCTTAGCTGGATGCTGCCAGGAAAGGATGCAGTGTCCTATGACAGACAACACAAATGGTTCTGAAGTTCTTTTGAGTGTATGAATGTTGTTGTTATGTGCTGTCGAGTCGCTTGCGACTCATAGTGACCCTATGTACAACAGCCCTAAACCCTGCTCTATCCTGAGCCAACCTGTCTCCCACACACCAATCCCAATTACCCCAGTCACTGAGTCAATCCACCTAATAGAGGGCCTCTCCCTCCTGCACTGTCCCTCCACCCTCCCAAGCATGATGTCCCTCTCCAAGGACCGGTCCCTCCTTACAACATGTCTAAAGTATGTCAGATGGAACCTCAGTATCCTTGCCTCCAAGGAGACGCCCGGTTTAACACTTTCCAGGATGAATCTGTTTGTTTTCCTAGCAGTCCATGGTACCCTCAATACTCTTCTCCAGCACCACCGCTCAAAGGCATCAATTCTCCTTCTATCCTCCATAGTCATTGTTCAACTCTCTGATGCATAACAAGTGATTGTAAAGACCATGGCCTGTGTCAGACGTACCTTAGTCTCCAGAGAGACACCACTGCTCTTCAGTACTTTGGAGAGGTCTCTAACAGCACAGACTTTTATTTAAAAGCCACACAGACAGGATTCAGATCTGGTCAAGCTGGAGTCAGTACATTCCACCTCATTTCTTCCACTGGCCTAATGGTAAGAAGCTGCACTACAATCCCAAAGGTACATGGTTTCAATCCACCAGCTGCTCCTCAGAAGACAATATTCTCTTGTGTAACTTGACTGTCTCTGAAGACGACCTGAAGGGTCAGCTGTGAGCCTGTTCCAACTCCAGAGCTCACAACAACAAGAAGAAAGTAATTATAAACTCTAGGCAGAATGGAAGGAGCAATTGTTTGAGGAATCGATGAAAGAAATAGTAGAAAGGGAAGATTAGAATGTAAAGTATCATCAGATTACCAGGGGGCTTACCATTGTTCCCTCCTTTGTTGGCATCATCCTGAAAGGACTCAAAGGTAGGCCACAATGGTACAGCAAAAACGTGTCCAAAAGAAATCTTTTTTTCCAGCCCAAGAAATGAGAAAAGGAACTCTCAAATGACAGAGAGAATGAGTAGTTCATGGTGTTCTTCCTTCTTTCGTTTTGTTTTGCTCTTTCTTGACTCAGTCTACAGACAATCCTTTCAGAGTATGGGTAGCAATGAACTTGTTGAGTTGATAAGCTTCTAAGACTCAGAAGAGGGCATCTCTTCATCTCTTCTCTTCCCAGAGAGATTACGGTCCCAAGAGTGTGGGGTAAATATTCATTGCTCTTGCCTCCTCTCTTTCTGTTCTGTGATGCCTAACCCTATGTGTGAACATAAATTGTGAGGAATGGTTGGCTGAGTGAGGAAAGGAGAATTCCAGCGTTGGCGCTGGGGGTGGAGGTGGGGGTGGGGGAGGACACACAGACAAGGGGATTGTGATAAGGAGGGTGCTATAGAGAACAATTCCAAAAGTGGTGAATGAACTCCTGTCCTTAACCCTCAAAGTGACATCTCTACTCCTTCACACTTTAAAAAAATCATTGTGCATGCGATATTGTCATCATGTCCAAGTCTAAGGGGTAGACCAGTGCCCAGGCCTCAGACTGGCCACTGGGTGGCACACTTGAAGGGGAGATCTGTAAAGCACTTGAAAGGCTACAATCCAAAATTACTCAGCATAGGAAGACCCAGGAAAGTTAAAAAAGGAAAATATAATCAATAGAAATCACGCCCGTGATGTTATAGATTGTAGATCAACTAGACAAAGACTTAAAAACAGCTATGGTAACCATTGTTGTTGTTGTTGTTGTTATTGAGTCAAGCATGACTCATAGTGACACTGTGAACAAAAGTCTTGAAGCCCCTCTATAACGAACGACATTTATCAAAGTTCATAGAGTTTCTGGAGGCGTGTTATTTAGGAAGTGGATGCCACTCGTGCTTCATGGTTATTAAATATGTATGTTGAGCAAAGAATCTGAGAAGCTGGAGTAAATGAAGAAGAGCACAGCATCAGGACTGGAGGAAGACTCATTAAGAACCTGCGATACGCATTTGACGCAACCTCGCTTGCAGAAAGCGAAGAGGACTTGAAGCACTTACTCATAAAGATCAAAGACTATATAATCTTTAGTGAGATGCATCTCACATGTGAAACAAAAATTCTCACAATGGGACCAGTGAACAACATCATGATAAATGGAGGAAAGACCGAAGTTGTCAAGAATTTCATTTAACTTGGCTCTACAATCAACATCCATGGAAATAGCAGTTGAATAATTATTGGATGCATTTCATTAGAGAAAATGATTAAAAAATTTTTTTTGAAACGGTGGCGTAAAACTGTCACTTGGAGAATTAAGGACTCAAGTCATAGTATTTTTTTCGTCTTCTTATATGCATACAAAAGTTGTACCATGAATAAAAAAAAAGACAAAAATAAAATCAATGCCTTGGAATTAGGATGTTAGTAAAGAATCCTGAAAGCAACGTGGCCATCCAGAATGAAAAAATCTTGTAAGATGTAGAGTAAGGAGTAGCCACAATGCTTTTTTTGTGTGAGGATGGGAAGAATTTGTGTATACAGTTTGGCCATGTTAGCAGGAGAAGTTGGTCCCTGTAGAAAGACATGCACAGTTAAGAAGAGAGGTGGCAAAAGAGAGTAAGACCCTCAATGAGTTGGATCAACATAGTGGTTGAAACAACGGACACAGCGATGGTTGTCAGAATGGTGCAGACCTGTGCAGCGTTTTACTCTGTTGTATATAAAATTGCTATAAATTGGAACTACCTCAACATTACCTAATGACCACAATGGCAAGGAGTGAGAAAAACACTCTGTAAAATAAGTGAAAAGATGTAAGTATTAGAAAAAAATAAACAGAAAACACAAATAAGACCAACTGGGGGTTTTAGAAATGGAAAAAAAAAATCCAACAACATAACAACACAAAACTAGCTTCAAGTGTTGTTCTCAGGATATTCTCAGTAGCAAAACAGATATGATCTAGGAGAGTGTCAGTAAAGTTGAAGATGTTCTTGTTGTTATGTGCCGTCAAGTCGCTTGTGACTCATAGCGACCCTATGAACAAGAGTCCAAAACCCTGCTCTATCCTGTGTCAACCTCATTGTCTCTGACACACCTACTCCCATTACCCCAATCAATGAATCAATCCATCTCATCCAGGGTCTTCCTCTCTTGCACTGTCCCTCCACCCTCCCAAACATGATGTCCCTCTCGAAGGACTGGTCTCTCCTTGTAACAGGTCCAAAGTATGTCAGACGAAGCCTCATAACCCTTGCCTTCAAGCAGCAGAAAGAAATAGAGATTTGTACATTGATGTTCATAGCAGTGTTATTCACAATAGCAAGAACATGGAAACAGCCCAAATGTCCATTAACAAATGAATGGATTGAGAAACTGTGGTACCTTAGCATGATGGAATACTATGCAGCACTCAGGAGAAACATTTTGAAAAAATATTATACCTGGGAGAGACTGGAGAGCATTATGCTAAGTGAACTAACTCAGACTCATAAGGATAAATACAGCACAAGACCATTATTGTTAAAATAGAAGAATAATTAGTAAAATGTGTATAAAGGAAGGTCTATGGGAAGAAGGAAAGGATGCAGAGGGGTAAGGGTGGGCAGGGGAAAATCTCAAGGTCACACAATTTGGTGGGTGGAGAAAGGGAGTTTAGAAAATGGGGAAGATCCTGTGGACATAGATCAATGGTGATAAATTTTATAAAACCCATGTATGGGAATTAGTGTATAAAACAATGTGAATGAAGGAAAGTATGAAACATAATGTATATGAATTCGTTTGCAAAGCAATATAAAATTAAAAAATAAAACAAAAAAAGGAATGCCAAAGGGAGTTCTTCAGATGGAAGATTAAGTGATCTCAGAGGGAACCTTGGAAGAGCAACAGAAACATTAAATGTATAAAATGTATACAGAGAAGGGACTATTTCTCCAATATAATCATTCTCACTGACTTAAACATGTACAAACTGGTGAATGCTCTGCTGTGTATGTTCTCCACAATAGCAACATAAATGAACTTATAAAAAAAGATATGTATATTCTATCTTATTTTATTTAAAACCTAAATAATAATTGAAAGTAATAATTACTACATAACACAGAGACAGATGTGTCAGAGACAATAAGGTTGAATATAGGGTTGGGTGAAGGAAAGGAGAAAGATCTGGTGTGAAAAACCAACGAACTTTGTAAGTAAACCAGTATAAAATAAAACTTTTATAAAGAAAAAAATAAGATTGGCTCAGGATAGAGCCAAGTGCAGAGCTGTTGTACAGAGGATCACATAACAACGCATAAAAGAGGAGAGTAAACGTACCTCTGTGGAAGTCATGCTTCCTCATTCTAACTTGAAATGTTGATATTAGTTAAAATTAGACTTTAATTTTTTATAGAAATTAAGTTTCTGTAGAAACATCACTGTATATATTAAAGTAATACAGACTTCTACAACTAGAAGGGTAAATAAAGATATAAAGCAAAAATGTGTCCTAAAAAGCACAAAAATAATAAAGAAGGCAACAAAGGGGAAGTAGAGGAACAAAACTGATGAAACAAAAAGAAAAAAAAAAGACTGAAACCCAATATATCAAAACTGAGTCTAAACACATTAACGAAAAGAAACAGCCAGAAAGAATAAATAAGACCCCCACTGTGTGCTATTAAAAAAAATCTAACTTTAATTATAATTATAGATTGATTGAGTGTAAAAAAAAGAGTAATATCAGACAAAATAGACTTCAGAGCAAAGAACGTATTAAAGAATGTCACATACTGGTAGGAAAAGCCAATTCATCAAGAATATATAAAATTCTGAAGTATGTACACACTTAACAGTCAAACTTTAAGATACATGAAGTATAACTGACAGAAAAGTTGGATTGAGAAAAATCCATAGTTATAACTG